TACTGTGTTCAGTTCTGGCCCCTCACTACAAGGGAGACATTGAGGTGCTGGAGCAGGTCCAGAGAAGGGCAATGGAGCTGGTGAAGGGCCTGGAGCACAAGTCTGATGAGGAACAGCTGAGGGCCCTGGGAGTGTTTAGTCTGGAGAAGGCTCGGGGGGACCTTACTGTTCTCTACAACTACATGAAAAGAAGCTGTAGTGAGGTGGGTGTCGGTCTCTTCTTCCAAGTAACAAGTGACAGGACAAGAGGTAACAGCCTCAAGCTGTGTCAGGGGAGGTTTAGGCTGGATATTAGGAATAAATTCTTCAGAGAAAGGGTGATCAGGTATTGAAACAGGCTGCCCAGGGAAGTGATGGAATCACCGTCCCTAGAAGTGTTCAAAAGCCGTGTAGATGCCCTCAGTGACATGGTTTAGTGGTGGCCCTGGCAGCCCTGGGGTAATGGTCTGACTTGATGATCTTAGAAGTTTTTCCCAGCCTATTGGATTTTATGATTCTATTCTTTGATTCTGCCTCCTGTTTATCCTTCCTGAAGTTTCTCCTTGCACTGAACCTTGTGGCTCGTGATCTTCCCCCAGGTAGGTAACATGTCACATTCCTGGGGCTCCTTACTCCACTGCAATTATGCATTTCAGTACCTACTGTCCAAATGTGGTTTTTAATTTGAGGAAAATTCATTCTTTTACAGCTTAGGTTGTTCTTCCTGTTTCTTTTCTTAAGAGAAGGCAGGCTGTGATGAGAAGTACACACAAGAACCAGTGCCACTTTGACTAAACACTACAACCTTGAGGTACCTCTCTCACCAGCTAGCAAAATTCTCTCCTATAATAGCACCTATTATTATATTGGATCACCTTGGACTTGAACTGACATCTTCAAACAAAACTATTGCAAATTAGAAATAAACCTCTTAAAATGAAGCCAAAAAGGCATGACTGTTACCAAATAAAGTAACTAACATAAGGATTGTGTATAGTGGCACTCTAGCTACAATGAGAGAATGGAACAAGAACAACAAAATAAGAGGCAGTGGTGAAAACATGTAAAACACTGATCTCCACCAGAGCCACTATCAACAGTACCTGGCAAACTCCACCTCTTCAGCTTTAGCCACTGACTTTAGACACAACTACAAGACGTGATGACAGACCTAAGGAAAAACAACTTAATTCTTCAAAACTCTTGATTTGTTACACAAAGAATTTTAATTCTGGAAAAAAATATGCAACAGCTCTGAAACAACTCCTGAGACACAAAGTACCTATCAAATTTCAAGACTGTAAAAACTGGAGAAGTTATGTTGAGTACAGACTAACACCTGGATAAAACTTACAGGGCCACAACTGGAATCAAGAAGAGAATCTGTTCCCAAATTTCATAGCAAGGGTTCATTATTGTTGTGATTATCAGAGGTAAATACAACCTCAGAAACACGCAGCTCTGGAACCTGATCTCCTGTATGAGTTGTATTAGGTTTTATTCCGATTTCTTCATATCTCAATCATACTCATTTCAATAGCTTGACTATTGATTATCTTAAGGAAATTAAAGATGTTTGTGGCTTTGAAGATCTGAACATGAAAATCTCCCATAATAAATAATCCCTTTCAGCCTTGACTGTATTTATATTAACATGCACATACATATGAACATATATGTGCACCTCCCTTATTTTGTACTAACTGAATATAAGCCCCCATGTTGCTGCTACATATGATCAAGAAGCAAATGACAAAGAGAAAGAGGAAACAAAGGCTGGCATTCATACTGAATGGCATTTAAAAAATGCCATTTTAAAAAGGGGGTGGAAACAGGGAGGTGAAAGACAGCCACATTCCGATTGAATGCCCCTTTTAAATATCCAGCCCCATCCCAAGTACTGCTATTTAGAAACGACTTCCCAAAATGCTGTTCAAAACCACTTTTGACTAGAAGTCCAAAATAATTCTAATATCCTCCTGTTCTATCTGTACATATGCATACATACAGAGTCTTTACCCTGCTCAAAGAGCATGTTTGATACCTCAGAAAATGCCATACAAGAACCTCATACATGTAGTATTCCATCATACATGTAATAATCCATCAAACCAGATGACTGCTTACAAGTTTGATGTTACAGTGATCCAACTAATTAAAGAAAATATAAAGTTAATGCTTGAGTTATAGCAAATTTCCTTTAAGTTGTTTTTAGCAAGTGACAGTAAAACACAATAATAAAACTAGCATACTTTCTAGAATGAAAAACTAAAGTAGAGGTAGTTTCTGAAGTTTTACCTAGAGCAATTATCTAGGAGATTTTTTGGGGGGGTTTTTGTTGGTATGGTTCCCACAAAAAGCAAGTGAACTTAAACCCCCAAAAATACTATTTTTGTGATACATGATTGATGTAAAATTATCTGCAAGGGTTTTTTGTAGAAAGGCTTTCAGAAGCAGTTAATGCACGTGTTCAGTTTATGAAGTACATAGAGTTCATAGCAAAAAATAATCTGCTGTAGACAGTAAAATTTATGTACCAAATCAAACTCCTGCAGACTGTTCTTTTCTCTTCTATAAAATACTACTGAAGAGCACAGCTGTTACAAGAATTCAGCAAACACCCTTTTCTCTGTCATATTTTTGCTGCTTTTAAAGCACACATAATGCTTTTGGACCCTCTTCTAAAACTGTACCACAAAACCAGCCAACAAATCACCACTGTTTCTAAAAAGTTTTAAACTTCAAGTCCTTGACGTGTCTAAAACTCCAGTTTAATATTATCTAGTATTAACTGCAGTGTAGTTGTTTCATAATTATTACAATCGTGACTATCCTTAAACCTCAAAGTAATTTTTACATTAAGGTTTATGAAGGATGCTTTTACATATTAAAAACATCTCAGTTAAACAGACACGGAAACAGTTCAGAGTATTTTCCTTTTCTTCGAGCCTTCAATCAGGTTGTTATTCCTCTCTTTTCCTCTACCTTTAAAACAGTGTAACTAAAAACTTTCTGGCCTTCTGAAAGAAAAAGGTTCAGAACTGCTTAAAGCCACCTTCCAATTTCTTCATGGCAGATGTCTCAAGCAGAATTTTTAAGTCAAGCCACTTGCTACCTACAGCAAAGCTGTTCAACAAAAATGAAGGGCTTGGAATACCAAACCAGAGGTAATTAAAAAAATAAAACCAAAACCAAAACAAAACAAACAGAAAAAAAACCCCAAACCAAAAAACCCCCAAATACCAACAACCAAACAACATAGGATTCTGTTGACTCATGCATGGCAACACAATAGCATTAAACAGAAGCTGTTTATCACAACTTTTCTCCCCTTGAGCTATCTCTTACAAACAGTACAATTGCTTTGAACCTACTTCCACATCCCAGTCACTTAACTGCTCTATCACACTGACTCCACCAGGATTTGATACAAAGCTGACTTTACAGGTCAGAAGCTGAATTTTTCTTAGGAAAACCTACGCATGAAGCAATACAGAGAAGAAATGCTTCTCTTCTCCATTTGCAGAACAAACAGCTTTAGTTCCTCACATTTCTACCACCATTTTCTCAGACATGTCTATGGAAAACACCATGTGTTTCCCAAGAGTTCTGAAAGTTAGGATAATCCTTTACAAGTATCTGCAAATCTTATGAAAACATAGATCGTCACTTTGCTGTCACTTATCCCATCTATAGATTAAATCCCAGACCCCTGTATGGAAAGAGGAAAAAGGCACGAACAAATGAAAAGATATCTAAGACCATTAAAAACCCAAAGGTGTGGATCACCCACACATTTTACCATTTAAAGAATATGGTACTAGAAATAGGCCATCTGAAAGAAAACAAACACTAAAGAGTTTCATCAGGGGATTTAAACCTATTTTGTCTTGTTAAATTGTAATGACAAATAAAACCTAACTTTATGCCTATTTTGCAATGCGAATTTGTAGCTTTGGTTTTTCAAACTGGGCTTGGAACATAGTTACAAGTCTTACTAACATACGTGATAGTTCATAGTATTTGGTAGCTAGAAGGTTTTTTTATTTATAGTATTATGAGTAAAGCTCACAAATAGGCCACATAATGTTGCTGTTAAAACAAAATGTGAGTTCTTGGAAGAAGCTAACAGTACAGAAAACAAATCAATTGTGCTTCTCTTTGTTAAGGGAGTTTTAAGAACATTCAGAGTATCTTTACTTTGGTCCATCACAACATAACAAAAAGGAGGAGGGTTGTGAAGCAAAAAGAACACATCTTGATAGAACTATGTCTAACCTTTCAGAGAAGGTCATGGTTCTGTCATGTATCACAAGCACGTATAAATAGCTCCAAACTACCAGCTGCTTCAGCACATACTCATAAGGAGAATACACAGCAAAAGTTTGTGCAAGCAGACTACTTTAATCAAATTCTGGCCTCACTCTTCCCTCAAGGCAATACAGGGCATCTTCTACAAAAATTCAAGGTCTGTCCCAAAGCTGAACAACCTACATCATATTAACTCAGCATCCTACTTCTTACACGCAGGAAATACTAATCCCGTAAACTTGGAAAGCTCACACTCTCTTCATATCACCCAAAAGTAAAGCTAAGGATATAGCCTGACAAAGTTAAGTACATACAAACACAAAGGCTTTCACAGGTCTATAGTTATCATTTACAGTTACAATTTGCCAACTGTCCAAAAAGCCTACTAGTAATTAGGTCAATTATGCCAGAATTTCACAAACTTATTTTGATCTTGACTTTTTTAAAACCAAGATGACAATCACTAACCTTTGCTTTACATACCCAGAGTCCCACATGCATTCTTTAAATGAGAAAGTTCTCCCAAATAGTTAATAACACTGCCAAAAGTGACAAGCTGGTCCTGATCACGCGGAACAGCTTTGTGTTGTTGGGGGTTTTGTCTCTACCATATCAAATGTGTATCAAAAAAGATATTGCAGCTTTATAACACAAGTGTCTTTCAGGTAGTTTTTCTGTATCAGACTTAAAGGACTGCAAGGTAAACGTACCTGTGTTCTGTGAGAACATTTACTGCTGATGGATGGTTGGCACAGTATGCAAGGTATAAGCTTTTCATTTGTGGCATCAAATTTAGAAAACATCCTCCAACCCTCTGCTGAGCTTCAGGCAACCTAAAAAGAGAGTAATAAACATGAGATTACTGCAATACCAACCAGACACAGCAATAAATTAAAGCTTGGAAAAGCAGTTTATATGAGGAGACTGACTGGTTGTGTTTGGTTGGTACATTTTGTTGGGGTTTTTTTATAAAATCAACAGATAGATTTCCATGGCCATAGACCAGCAACCAACACCTTTCTCCTCCTTTACAGCTTCAATCCTGTAACTGTCAGGCCTGATCATGTCACCACAGTATAGGCAAAATATGGTACATACCTGTAAAATGGTCATTCAGAATTTATTCCACACACCACCCCCCCAAGAATCAGTAGTAATTAGCACCTTCTTTAGGAGTTGATCTTCAGTCAATATATACGTTACAAGTTTTCTATCCACTTATATATGCCATGTCAAATCTTAAAATCAGTACTTCAGCACTTACAGACAAAAATTGAGCAGTGTCAGGATTCACTCCCTCTACCCCACACCAGCAGATTATAGGCTTAAAATATTCATTAAGAAGATCCAAGTACCATATGAAGCTCTGACAGCACAAATACAAGCCAGTTACAGTGCAGCAGCAGGCTGTTTTTACACTCTTGTCACTCCTCTTGCTTTTTAAGAACTACAAAGCACTTTTATGTTGGTTTGTAACCAGGGCCAGAGTGCTGCTTACCACCATTAGTACAAAAATGCTTTCTATAATGCTTACTTTCTTCATCTTTCATGACTGAATGCATCACACATGCTAAGCAGTGAAGGAAAAATCTCACAATTCTGTTCAGAGGAGCTTATTTTGTCTAGCATTAAATTATGCTTCAAAACAAGTCACCTCAGTGACTTTGGCAAAAAAAGATGACTTGGCAAGAGAAACGGTATTTAGAAGAAAAGCTTACTTTCCACACAGTCTTGATGAACCTAATCAGTTTTGATCAGGTTTGTCAGAGGAATTTACACATATTTGTTCATATAAATAAGGGAGAACAGGTCATGAAGAAAGTCATTATGAATATACACAGTGTATTTTTCAAAGGCTTTTAGCAGAAACTGTCATCTCAAATTGCAGTAAGAAAATATCTGGAGTATAAATATCTGCAACTTGCTGCGTGACACCAGCTTAGAACTGGTACAATCAGCAGAAAGTAGAAGTCTAACTTCTGACTTTGCATCTGTGTGAGCAGGGGAAAAAAAAAAGAAAAAGCAAAATGCAACTCTTCCAGTCCCATTGTTAGTATGTCCTTAAGCTGCATACTTCAGATGCAAATAAAAGCAAACTCTCATACTTTCTCAAAATCTAAAATAAATTTCAAATTAAACAGAAACTGATGGGAAGATGCATATGCTCTAACCAGCCATACTTCCTTACTGGTACCATATCATCACTCTCAAAACCACTCAAAAATATCCACACTAGATTGCTTCCTATGTGACAAAGGATAAATTGAACAAAAAGTGAGTAATACCATAAGGGTGTCAGAAGGGATGAAATCCCTCTTATTTCTACAGAGAAACTCTCACTTGAAGGGCTAAGCCTCTTCAGTAGTAGACTGTATGGCCAACAGCCAATTCCAAAACCCACACTTAAGTTAACCATAAAATGGGACGCTGAGTTTCCATCAGTCCTAGACCACAAGCTTGTTCCCAGCACCTTATCTAAACCCACTGTACAACATGGCAAGATGAAATGTTTCTGTTTCTCCATACATTTCCTCTCCTCAAATAAAGACTGCATCTCTTAACCATGTCGAGTCTTTGCTTCTTTGCAAGATCAGACAAACAGTGGATTTTTGTTGTTATCTATTTAATGACTCTTAAAAATCAGTATTTCACACTGATCTAAAGCTAGGTAAGTTCTCAGAAAGCACTCAACAAGCATACTTTTGGCACAAGGTGTTTCTTACTAATACTAGTTCTCCCTAGAAGACTATGGTTTTTTGCTTTAAAGATTTTCTTTAGTTGTCCTGAACAGGTATATAAAGTTTCTAAGCATAAATATTTAATATATCTCCCAACAGTGAGAGATGCTCTAGTGAACTTCAGTGGAGAAGAACCATCCGGTTTCCAGGATAGCCGCTCCACCAAGGAGGGAATGTTCCCATCCTGTCTTGTCCCACTCCTTAGGTTTTCTCATAGTAGTTAAAATTCAAAGTTCATCCCAAGAAATATTCCCCCAAATTTAAAAAAACAGTAAGTCTGTCTCCTACTAAGCTGTTCAGTGCTTCTGTACGGTGTGGGAAGACCTCTCAACATGAAGTCAGAATTGACTGACTGTACAGAGGTTCAAAACGTGAGGCAGGGGAAACGCTTCCTTATTTGAAAACAGCACTCACTATAGACACCTAGAAAATGACAGTTGAATCCCCACTAGCACATCATATCATATACACTGATCACACTGGCAGCACTCCTTACATTAAAGGCTCAGGCCCATATTTTACTGTTGGCATCTTTATTTCTTTCAAGAAAAGTTTAAATTCTGAAATCAGTGGAGTGACTTTTACAGGTATTTAGAGGAAAACCTGGGGCATTCCCCAGCATACTAAGGGAATGCTATTCTTACAACCTTCCAAGCAGCATTCCCTGCCTAGCAGCTGGCCCCTTTTGATAAATCTAAGCATGAGCTAATAATGCACTCTTCTGAGTAATAGATGCAGCAAAAGTCTCAAACTCTGAAGACATACTCAAGGCATATAACTCAGTACTAAATACTAAGGAGGCCCCAATAAAAGTTGCTGAAAACAGTTAAATTCCCTTTTCATACTGTAGTGCTCGGGTGGGAGGGAGTGAATTATGGCTGTTCTCTCCAAGTAGACATCTGTGTCTTCTCAGTCTGCTGTTCTTTTAGCAGAATGAAAGACTGACATTATTCTCTTTTACACATTGCACATGCATTGCATCTTCATACTGCACATTCTTTGTTGAATTAAGATAATTAACAGACTTTCTGACGGGACGACAACTCATCCCCTTTTGGCTTTTGTAATCCATGCATTATTTTCAAGTGTTCTACTATTTTTAGAGGAACGATTAATAACTTATCTATATCTCCTTTAACTGCTGGAAAAAACAATTTCATGCCTACCACCACATCATATAAACTTTTTATTATTAATGTGTTCAGAAAAGAGCCATAGTTAATTTATTTTAAAGTTGTCATCCCAATATTCTTCTCATATTTGATACTCTAATTAAAAAGGAGTCACATATAAATATTTATACATTTATATAAACGATAGCTTTCATTGTAGAAAGGCCAAAGACATGTTTTAATTTCATTTACAGAATTAAGAGGACCATAGCAAAGCCTCTGCTGGTGTACACATGCTACAGGCATCATGATATGACTACATCTAAGCTACCTAACATAATCTGCTTGTTAAAATTACACCCAGCAGCTATCAGTTCTGTTTCTCCAGACTTAAAACAGGTTCCCACTGCATGATAACTTAAGAGAGAAAGAAAATACCTTCTTGCTCAATTACACTTACTTTAGTGATTCTGATCAAAGTAAGCAATCAGAACTTAAGCTAGACTGGCAGCCAGAGCAGTGACATTAAAGAGTATCTAATTCTGTCCTGTATGTTTTGAAATAATCTGCCTTAGTTTTGGTATCAGTGGACATTACAACATTCCTGGAAAGGCTGTGGAAACCATGATGAATCCAGACAAATTAAAACACAGACAAACAGAGGCAATTTTAAAAGAAAAGTAGGTAACAAAATATAAGCAGCACTGTGTTTTCTTTTTGCAAGGAAAAGATCAGATGTCCCTAAATTTCACTTGACTGCATGGTTACCAGAAGACTGTCACGCAGCAATCTACATCCCTATATGGATATATACAGACTTAATCTGTATCTGCACTCCAAAACCAAACTTGAGAATCCTGATTAGCGGTTTGAGGGTTGGTTGGATTTTTTGGTTGGGTTGGTTTTTTTTGGGTGGGGTGGGGGGGGAGAAGCAGAGATTTGTTTTTTGGGGGGTTTTTTTCAGGGTTTTTTTTTTTTGTAGTTGTTTTTTTTGGTGGTGGTGGTTTTGTTTGGTTTGGTTTGTTGTTTGTTTCGGTTTTTTTAATTCCCATTCCACTTCAGGATTATCCCACAACACAAAATAATCTGCTTGTACTCAAACACAGAACAAGATAAAGAAAAGCAACACAGTTACTTTGACTGCAAAAGCAGGGACATGAAGAGAGGGCAAAACCCAGATACAGTTTTATATAGGGCAGGGATGCGGGTCTGTGATACTACCTAAAAGACAAAGACAATCAATGCCTTCAACTTGCTATAGAGGAGGTTGTACCTAAGCAGTCCATACTGGCCAGCCTGTCTCTTGTGCCATTCTCCTCAGACACTGAGAAGTACAGCCACAGACTAACAGCTTCTACTCCCAGGTGAATGGAAGATTTCATTTTCTTTTTGAACAGGAGACGTTTGTTCAATCTCTGGTTATAAAAATACCCGAAGAACAAGAGAGATCACCTTACAGACACTGACTTTGTTTGTTCAGAGACTCCTCTGCTGTGTGAGCAGAACGGATCTTTAGCACTGGGTCACAGATTTGGAGAGAGTCCTAGAGCACCAGACCACCTTCAGTCTTCAAGAGACTGGAGCATGGAGTGCTCTTGCCCTGTTTGACTGTCAGAAACCCACCCTTTGCAACTGAAGACTCCAAGAGCATCTCTCTGCCTTGACAGTTACAGATCTTTTACATCCATCAAAAGAAAGTGCACCTGAAGCTGACTAGCAAAAAAAAAAAACAAATAAAAAAAACCACACACCCCCCCCCCCCAAAAATCAACAAAACAAAACCTAAAACCAAACCAACACATGCTTTTGAAGCAGATCAAACAGAAGATTCTCATGCAGTGATAGTCAGACTCATTTCATATGCCACTTCTACTTGGTAAATGAAAAAGAGACATCACAAAAGAAGAAGTAACCCTAACAAATCTGTCTGATGCTGCCCAGTATCCAGGCAAGCAGAGAAGTGTTCCCAGCCCTGTGACAGATGGAGCACCACAGTGATACTGCAGTAGAGGCCAACCTGGACAAGTTCAAAGAGGACAAACCTTCAGCAATGCACCAGAAGAGCTTCAAAGCTGAGGGCAGGGTGGCACAAAACTGAAACCAAACCACATCCAAACAACTGCTTCCCCCAAACACAAAAAGCACCCACTACAGCATTATGTGTTGTGAAAAACACACAACCCACCTTTTAGCAACACAAGGATTAAAAAAAACCAAAGCAGTGCAGGCAAGAAGAAAAGCATCAGAAAGTTTCTGTCACTGCGGTACATGCCAGGATTTGTTCAGAGAAAACACAAATGACAAATTGACTCAAGAGAGGTGTGGAATTCAAAAACACATTCAACTCTCACACCCAAGAACACAAATTCGTCGAGCAAGGTAGGCTGGCAGCAGTACAACTGGCAGGACATTGGCATTTGGTCATTCTGACATGTCAAGTTAGGAGAAACACCACACCGGATGCTGCAGTATGAAGTGCCTGAACGATTGAACTCTAAGTTCTCTGCCAAAAATAAAGTAGAATGATAAATCTATTTTCAGCCCAGGAGCTACTCTGAGTTTACAGAACAGGATCACCAGCCAAAAAACCATGGCAAAATTACAAAAAACAAGCCAGTAGGGCAAGCATTCTTCTACATGATAGGTATTATGATGGATTAGATTCAAAACAGAAGGAAGCTGGACACTCAAGTCAATATGCTACGATGAAAACTAAACCGAAAACACAGTTTAGCATGACTGGTATATTTATGAAATAAAATAACGCAAAATATTTGCAGTAACCCTTCAGTAACGCTTGGCATCTCCCGGCACATTTTTATGACCACTGTTGTTCAGGATAGAATACTAAGCACAAGCATTCTCACACAGCCTCCTTCATCCACGTCACTTACCCCTTCCTCTATCACAACTTAAGCTCCCTTCATTCTTCCTCTTACTTTAAGGAAAGACTTAGAATTTATGCCTCCTAAACAAAAAACACCACTTCCTCTATCACTTCCCCACTGGTATGCAATTGCATCCTAGGGCCAATATCTATCCGAACAAGCAGTGAATATATTATCCAAACATTTATTACTGTACTGCTGTAGCAACTATCATTGAAGTGAGAGGAACAAGAATTATGTCAAACAACTACACAGCAAGTAAAATAATTAAAATAGTTGCTTGTTAGAATTTTACAGTTTCTGGTATGCATAGTACTTACTTGGTGCATTCTTCTAAAGACTGTACAAGCATTTGCTGGAAAGAACTTATTTCTTCCAGGTTTCCCATTAAGTATGAAGTATTTGCCAAGTTTAACCTGGAGCCAAAGCAAATAAAAGGTGTTTAGGTTTGCAGTTATTGACTAACTGTGCTTTAATAAAAGCTACAACCTTAAAAGAAAATGCTTACTGGTTCTTAGATCAAGGACCAGACTCATTTAGTAAGCAAGCAAACAATATACAAAAGTAAGCGCTGCCTCGAGAATCTCACAGACCACACAAAAAAAAATGCACACTAACATTGAAACTTTGACCATGTGAACCCTCCCCAGTACATGAGATATTAAGCTTCATTTAAAAACAAAACAAACTCACATACTTTTCACTGGCTTGTAATGGTCGCAGGTAGTTTGAAAGCATTGTTTGTAGCTCCTTAGCATATTCATTTTCTGTTTCTAATATATTTTGTAGCACCTACAATAAATGACAGTTGCTAATTGGTATTTTTTAAGAGATACTTCAAAGTGGTCAAATCAATACCAGTTTTAAAGCATACTAAAATTTACTTAGCACTAGGAAAACTTAAATGAGTGTTCTTACATTAAAAATTTAAGTATCAGCAAGAAAGCGTATACATCTATGAAATTCACAGGGGGAAAAAACCCACCACACATACACGATGAGCCATCCTTTAGCAATACACAAGAAATAGGAGTAAGCCAACAGGAATTTCTCTACACTTAAAACTTTTACTGTAAAATTTGAGATCTACATAGAGTGATCTTTCAAAGCTAGGGATATTTATTCCTTCTGTGTACTTCAGAACAGTCAAAGATCACGAGAGGTTGGTAAAGCAGATAAAATAGAAGTTGTAAGAGAAATGAACAACTGGTATTGTTTTGTCAGTCTCAATTACAACACATAACTAATCTTGCTAGCAAAGTGCTTACCTACTCAGATGTATTGTTCTGTCTAGAAGGTCTGAATATTAACAGATTTCTAAATACCAAGTAATAGCCAACTTTACTTAGCAATATGATTAGCATTACTGCATTCTTTTTAACCAGGGTTGCCTAACTTTCCACTGAGAGTGCAATAACATATACTATCAGAAGAAAATTACAACAGATTCTGATGAAAAGCCAAGAATTCATAAAATACAGCACACGCTTGTTTTTTGGCTGAATATAAATCAGACAAATGGAATACTCCCAAATATGTACAAGAAAACATTTTACGGGGCCATCTCCTGGGAGCCTGCTTTAGGATATCCTCCAATATATTCACATCAAGTTCTACTGTGCTTCTAGCAGGCAAATTATTTTTTGCCTCCAAAAAATTAATGATTTAGCAAGAGGATCATTAGAATTAAATGTAGTCCAATGAACGCAGCTGAGCTTTGAAAACTTTTTGCTATTCTCTGGTCATAAGCCACACTACAAACCTCATTTTGCTACATGCCATATTTGTCAAGGCTACAGTAATATCTCATTCCAGCATTTATAGTAACAACTGTAATTGAGTGGATTATACACTGTTCTAGTCAATACTCCTTCTTACAAAATAAAAAAAGCCATTCAGTCCTAAATGCAAACCTGATGAAATAACTTTAAATAGTTCAGTATATCAATGAAGAATTCACTGTTCCTTTCATTGGTGTCATTGATTCTGCTTATTCATTGAATGCTTCTATTCATTTGGAGAGTGGGAGAAAGACCACTTTTGAGTTCATTCTTTTGTTGGAAATCTGAATCCTGAACTGAAGATTAAAATGTCTCCATTCTGTGCTAAACACTATGACAGAAGAATGTCACAAGGAAAGTTATGGGTACTAACTAGGAAACTACAGCATAAACTACAACAGGGCACACAAATATAAAAAGGAAAGAAACAATTTCTATTGATCATTGCACTAATTAAACCCCATATTCTCTTACACATATGTAAACCAAAGAAAGTAAATTCTTACATGAAAATATAAAAGTGCTTAGCATCCACGAGGTTCAAAACTCGATGCAAGCCTTTTCTAATATGGCTTTTCCTACAAATATCTCCCAGCTCAAAGCCATTAATAGGGAAAAGGAGACTGAAAGATGAAGACAAAACCACAGTGTCCTGACGGAAGCACTGAACAGCATTAAAAGACATTCAAAGATAAAAATCAACAAATTTGGTAGAGGTCTTTTAAGGCTGCACTACCGCTCCACTTTCTCAAAGAGTATTCCTGTTCTTTGCTGTAAACAGCTGTCTGAAAAGGCTGAAATAAATCTAGTTCCATGTTGGACATCATTATTTTCCTGTGCCAGTCTGGATTCTTATCTGAGGATTTTCTTTGCAATACAGAGAGAATATGGAATTGAGAAGAGAGGGGGAAGCATGGCAAAGGTTAAAAACTAGACTTAGGAACCTTACAAATTCCCGGGAAAAAGAAAATAAAAGCAGCTGTAAGTCAAACTGCTACGAAACCTGTGCACACTACTAGATACACTAGAATCTTGCTTCACATTGCTCTAGTAGCTCAGTGTTACACAATACATTAGATACACTAGAATCTTGCTTCACATTGCTCTAGTAGCTCAGTGTTACACAATACTTTAGATACACACGCAGTTTTAAATACTTCCCAACACATTAAATCTTTGTCTTTTTTTTTTTAAAAAAACAAGTACAGTTTCCACTGCATACAACATTCTTTAACTTTGAACATCTTTAAAAAAGAATAATCTTGCTTACATAGCTCTAACACATCAGTTCTGTGAAATCTCGCATCCTCCCAGCTTGACTTACCTACCTCACCGAGAACCTATGAGGATTAAATGCTTGGACTGTGCTTTGAAGCGATAAGTAGTCAGTAGTCAGTATTGCAACCCAGTATTTTGGCACTACAGCACCCTTACATTCCTCATATCCGCATCTCGCCCGCATGCTCTAATAATCACCTTTCTTCCCCTTCCTGCTTTCTGTGCGTTCTGGCTGCTGCAAGACCCCATGAGACCTCGAAGACCTTGTTTCCACAACTCCACCACAACATTTGCACAGATAAGACTGAGTACCAAAAGAGCAGCATTGAAGTGGCAGCTTTTGCAGTCTGTAACACTGATGAATGGCAGGCACAGACAACTGAGCTCATACAACACAAGCTCTCTCATGGAAAATTCAAGCATGGTTAACAATTCTGTCACACAAAACCCCAACCATCTCCCTAAGGCAAAAACGACCACTCAAAATGGATTTAAAATGACCTACATGAAGCTGATCTCCTTCCAAATCAGAGGAAGAAAAGGCAGATTTCACAGCTATGCTCAGGCATGATCCTGTAGCACGTTCCCATTTTATAGGAGTATGGCACTCAACAGAAATACCACGTACTTTAGCAAAATGGTGATCAATGTCTAATTTTCCTGGATCATGAGAATCTGACAGATGTACCCCTTAAAACAAGCCCTTGAGAGAGACAATATCAAGCACCACACAAATATAACATCCCTCGAGGGTCCTCCAAAACTTTTATGAACCTCAATAAACACAAACTCTTGACCCAGCTTCAAAAGTGCGGCCACAAAAGGAGTGCTTATTTTCCACCACTTCTCAAACACTTAAATGAAAAATGAGGTCATCCGAGTACTCATACTATCGTGAAATTTGCCCATTTCTCTACCTGCTTTTGGAACATCTACTTAATCTCAAGGAATTGTCCTGTAAATGGAGATAACCTGATTTTATTTTGGACACAAAGTTCTCAAGGGATCTCAAGTAAAAATAAAACTCGGAGTAATGCCTGTTCTGTCTTCAGGGGATAACCTGCAATAATATGCCCAGTTCTTCAGTAACAGGTCACTAAATTACTTCTACATGAAAAATGCTTCATGCTTGATCACAAGTCTGGTTCATATTACACACTGCTGTAGGCTTGTATCATTTTATGGAAGACAAGACTTCATAGCTAGCTCTAGTGATTCTCTACTAACCTGCATTCCTAAGGCAGGCAAAATGTAAGCATAGACCAAATGTGTTCTGTCTTTTCAGCAACACCTAGTGCAAGACACAGCTAAATAAAGCACGCTGAGACTAAAAGGTATGTGATTTATGTTATGAACTTCAGATGGAGCTCTGTGAATCCATAAAGAACACATTTACAAGGGGGTGAAGAACAGAGGAAAGGGGTGAAAACAGTCTCCTCTTCACATTAACCACCTTTTCCTTGGCCTATCCCAGCCGTTCTCCCAGATTGGGAGATTAGCAGAGGCTGTCCTACCGCTTCCTGAACTTCCTCTGAACTGCTCTCTGATATTGTCCTCAGTCCAATGAATGTATCCACAGGTGCTGCCCACACTTGCACAGATCCTTTCCTAGGAATCACAGGAATAAATAACCATGAGGTTTACAGGGTCTGAGCACGTACCCGTATGGTGGAAGACAACCACAACTTAAAAATAGCAAGCAGTCCCAGAACACAAGCCTCAAATCACGCTTGGCTGTCAAGACAGCCTTTAATACTAATGTTAATGCTTACTCTTGAACTCAAGCGACATCCTTTCAGCTACCAGTTGCCAAAGGTTTATTTAGAGCTGTTGTTTTTACCTCAGTATGGTCTCAATTTTATTTATCAATACAGACTGATACAACTTCTAGCATAAGGAAGTACCATGTCTACAGCTTATTATTAAGACAGAACAAAAACTCAACCATCAGGTTAAAGAGCTTTCACTTCAGTGAATGGTTTTGCTATTTGTCTTATCTACATGTAAAAATCATTACATATTTAATAATTATTGTAAATAATTATCTTATATTGCCATAGGAAACACTACTTCTCCCCCCTCCTCAGTATGTGTGGGTTGTTTGCCACACTGTGGAAAAATGTAAAAACAAGACAATTATCCAGTTCACTGCAAAAAGATTTAAGAACAGTACTCTAGGGCCAGTCCTGTAATTTACTACATACATTATTACTATGAACTGGTCATTTTCATGGGCCCTCTCCACCCCCCAACAATGTAATCAACAGTTAACAATGGAAATCTTATTACATCAGTCTAGTGCACCAAGAAAGCTGCACCTGAGCAAGATGAAAAATAACCTCATTGCAAAAGTAGGTATGATGGTCACTAGTTTCACCTTTTTTTATTTTGTTCATTAAGCCACTTTAAAAGCCAGCTGTGGCTACCTGTTTCCCAAAGCATATAGCAGCTTGAGTCTCTTTGATTATGATAAAACATTATCCAGGGAACAATTACAAAAAGCACACAAACCAAAGGTGGTACTTCAAAATTTTATGGCCTTTTATAAAGTTAGCAGTCTTAACTATGGTTTTAGGCAAATTCAAACGTTCACTTTCTATTATATTCTCTGAAGTACACTATCACCCCCAAAAGTGTCATGTGTTACTCCTACAAAGTAAAATACGCAACCACACGATTCAATTCATTTTGGACACAGTCGAACTGGAGTTTTAGTTAATCCCAAATTAAACAGCTGTAACTTTTCACCACATTAAGGTCTATCAGGGAAATAATAATATCAGATTACATGACACATGTATTTACCACCAACTTAAAAAAAACCAACCCCAAAACAAAACCAAACAAAAACAAACAACAAAAAAAACCCACCCCACAACCCAAATCTAAAGAACTGGTGTTCAAGACTGCTGCCAATTTATTTTGATTAAAAATTCAACATAGATATAAATTAAGTAAGAGCAGTCCTCTACCTAGTGAAGGAACCAAATCCTCACCTTTGCTGCCCTCACTCCAGTTTACTTGTATTGGAAAACATAGGTCTTAACATCAAAACAACCACAGAGAAGATATATTTACTACTATGCACAACAACTTTGGGGCAAAATAAAAAGACTCTAAAGAGATACAGTTAAAAACAAAAATAAAAAGGAAGACTATCTGCTACATGTACTACAATAAGATCATTACTTCCCGCAGTTTGAAGGAAGCTGTGCCTGCACAGACACTTCCCATCATGGCTAGCACTAGTGGGATACAATAGCCAGAGAATTGCATCCCGCCCTTTATCATGGAATTACAGCTACCAACAGGCACCAAAGCAAGCCACAGGGCGCAAGCAGGAGGTTGATTCACTGTTTTCAGTTAGGGGACTATATGCAAACCAGCTCTGTTCTTCCAGGTGGCTGGCATTATTCATGCCACAACCACAAAAGATGAAAGCATAAAATGATGCTTTATGATCCCCTCTAAAAACTGACAAATAAAATGAAAAACAATGACAGCTGTTTCAAAGAAAAGGGACAGAAACATTGTGTTTTGGTTTTACACCAGCAGGGAGCAGTGGTTAACAAAAACAGGAAGATGCCTTTTGCTACCCAATGTAGCTACTGTTAGTAAATAAAGGATTCTCAAAATGGTTTCAACAAAACATTTAAAGTTTGGCATCTTCCTTACATGCATCTGCTAAAGAGGGCTGAGCACCAGATTCAGAATTCCTGGGGCTGTGTTAAAGGCCAACTCTGGCTATATTCCTTTTGCTGGGAAATCTACCTATCCATGTAAATGAGATGTTCCTGAAGTTAATTATTTAGTTGATTTATAGGCAGAAATACAAAGGAGGCAAATTCTTTCAAAATGTTCAACCTCTTGTTCAACAAAAAAGACAAAACTATTCTTCACTATTTTAAATAAAACAGCAGATTTTCATTAATTCAGAGAGATTGGGAAAGACTGATTGCATATTTGGGGGATGGGGGAGAAAAGGGAAATTAAAAACAGCAAAGCAAATAAAATGAGCATTATATATTGCAGAAATTACTATTATTCATTTACTTTAGACTATAATTTTGCATCATGCTTAAGAATCCATATATGTGATATTCTATTAAACTAATAACGATCTTGTTTATATAAGAATTCACTAAAACTCCTATCTAGTTTTGGCAATAAGGCTCTGAGAAGACTGCCAATTCTCCTTGTGCAGATAAAAGCATTTAGTTAAATGATGTTCTACTGTATATATCAGCTCACAAGGAGGAAAAAGGATTACTCACCACATTGTAATAGCTTTTGTTAATTGCAGACGTATCAAAGCCTTTAGGTGGACTCTTCAATGTACCTGATTTGGGGGAGACCGGTTTTTCTGAAATGCAAGATATTTTGGGCTTAATGTGGTGCAATTTCACAGCTCAACACTAGAGGTCAAACAAACTGCTTTAAAATATTTATTGTAATATACAGTGAAAACAGTGCTTCACTGAGAAATGTACATACTTGTGCTAGAAATTATTGGTAAAGATTCAAAATGGTTCACAATGAATGAAACTCTAGCCTCAATGAAGGCAAGCAGAAAAACTCCCTTTCTTTTTCCTGGAACCAGAAAGTCAGTTAATAAAATCAGGTTTTCCAAAATTATTTTTTAAAGACAAAACATTATCACGGACTGTTTCAAAACAAAGCCAAAACCAACAGGTACTTCCAAACACTACACATACTTTCAAACAAAAGTAGTATTATGTTTTAATATTCAATGAATTCAGTAAAAGCAAGTGACCAAAGGCTGAACATACCAGAGGTGGGACATTACACTCCGTCTGGCTGAAATAGAAAACCAAAACACTACACAAGCAGTGGAGAGACTTACCTGATGCCTATCCCAGAAAATCATCTTTTAAAACAAATTACCTATTACTGTTAATGAAGTAAAAATTAAAAGTGCTTTTGCGTTTGAGAACCGAGTCTATCATAACAGTAAGTGCAATTGTTCCTATAATGCCACAGTGAATGCACGCT